TATCAGATAAAGGACGTATCAGATATTAAACTGATGAGAACAAGTAAGGACCTTTGTACAGGGGGAAAGCCTTAGGGTAGTTGGGCTAATGGATTGACTGAAGCCTAGTAGGTATAACTGGAGTGTATGATTGGATAAAAGGGAGAGAGTGGAGAGCTTCTCCAGGCCTTGGGGTGTTTGTTCCAGGAGAGAGAGAGGGATAGAAACCCAATGGAAAAGTACTTCTGGGTAGATGCTTATGTGTAATATGTGACGATAACCCTTGGAAATAAAAGAGAGTCCATCTGCACTTCATTGCATGAGTCACGTTTACTTGTTTACTTTTTTCCTCTCTCATAGACTTCATTTATAAGAAAATATAATTTTGCAAACCAGTGGGTATCTGATAAATGGGATTTTGGTTCTTAAACTTCAAAAATGCCTTTCAACAAGTCACTCTGTGGAGCTTGTTTCACCTTGCATTCTCTTTTTCTAATTGTTTCCTCTTTTGACCAACATCTATTTTATTAGTGTCTTTGTTAGGTTATCAGTCTTTTCAGGTTTCATGTGCTCAGTGTACTCATTCAACAAAAATGTTGTAAACATCTACTATGTAAAGGCATTGGGAATTTTAAAAAGTGAACAAGAAATGGTCCTTTTCCTCCAAAACTTTGCAACCAGTGAGTGAGACATGTAAACAGACAGTTAAAGTTATGAAGTGATAAAAGTTTTTATAGGGAAAACACAAATGACCACTACTCTAGACTTTTGGAGAAGAATAAGGATAGGTAGGTGAATAAGCAGAGAAAAATTTTCTAGGCAGAATAATCAGCATGCACAAAGGCGCAGAACTATAAAAAAAGTATAGGCTGGGCTCGGTGGCTTACGCCTATAATCGCAGAACTTTGGGAGGCCGGGGTAGAAGGATCTCTTGAGGCCAAGAGTTAAAAACCAACCTGGACAACATAGTGAGACCCTGTCTCTACAAAAGAATAAATTAAAAAATTAGTGGTGCATGGTGACGTGCACCTGTAGTCCCAGCTACTTAGGAGGTTGAGGTGGGAGAATCATCTCAGGACAGGTGTTTGAGGTTGCAGTGAGGTATGATGATGCCACTGCACTCCAGCCTGGGTAACAGAGTGAAACTCTGTCTCTTAAAAAAAAAATTGACATAAGTAGAGCATGGTAGTATGAGACGAAGGCTGGAAAGGTGGGCAGGAGCCAAAGTGCATTCATCATAAGCCCTTTTTATGTTAGAAAAGGATTGTAGATTGGAAGATGAGTGGGTCCCTTGTATTAAATGAGGTGTGGTTAGGGAGACTGACCCATAGCGTGGTATGGGTAAGAAGGGTAGGAAAGATGAGGTTTGGCATATTATGGATAGAGGAGGGCCAACCAGAGGTCTTGGAGCTCTGACCCTTCATGGATAGGATTTCAGGGTAGTGGTCATAGGATGATCAGATAACCAGGAATTTATTCTAGAAACAATGATGGTGATTTGGAATCTATCATTTAATACTCAGGAAACTAAGAAGGCTGTCCATAGGTGCAGAGACACTTGGTCTTGTTTCCTTGTACATAAGGCTTACCTCCCAACATTTTATTACAAAAAATTTAGACATATAAAAATTAAAATAATTGTATAGTGAACACTGATATATCCACCACTAATATTTCACAGTTGTTATTTTCCTATTTTTTGCTTTTTCACATTTCTATTCTTCTGTCTATCCTATCATCCATCCATCGGTCCCTCTCTTTGTGCATTTCAAAGTAAGTTACAGACATTGATAAACTTCACCCCTAAACACTTCAGCATGAATATCATGAACAATTTAAACTATTAGTTTATGGTTCTTTTGTTGATGTAAAATTTATACATGTGAAATGCAAATTTTTAAAGAGCGATAATTTGATAAATTTTGGTAAGTGTATACACCTGTGTAATCTAAACCATTATCAATATATAAAACATTTTCATAATCCTAGGAGTTCTTTCATGCTCCTTCCCAGTTGATTCTTGCCCCCATTCCCCAGAGACAACTACTGTCCTGTGTTTTGCTCTCTGATCTCTCTGCTCATGCATTTCTCTCTGCACTCATACTTCTAAATATAGAATTTGAAGTTATTTGAAATGAATTTCAAATGCCATTTTTCCCATTTGAGTCTTCTGATTTTTCCTACTAGATAACATGTTTCTCTCCTTTGGAGGAAACAGTTTATATTGTAATTCTCTTATGGCATTTGTTATATTCTTTCTTGGATTATGGGTTTTGTCAGTATTTATTTTATTTCTTCTTTCTTGTTCGCAAGTTCTTTGTGTATTTTGCATCTTTTGGACTCGTGAATAAATTGTGGTTCATCTGATTTGAGATGAACCACAATTATTTTTGCACGGCAAAAATAATTTTAAGCAAAAAATTTTACCTACCATAATTAGCAAGCACACATAAACTATTTTGCTTAGCTCTCTTTCAATAAGAAATTGGAGAAGTTTGGGCTAAAAATGGAAAAGCTGACTTCACTTTCACAGATGGAACACCTGTATACATGAAATAACAGGTTTCAAGAGTATATTCAATTTTTAAGAAGTGTTCCTACTTTCCATTGCATCATTCAGTGGAGAGAATCTATGTTACAAATTTTGCAGTCAGGTTTATGGAATGATGTAATGGAGGAATTGATTGTAACTCAGTTTTCTTCCTGATTGTAAGATTAACCATCACTAGTTTATTGATTATTTGGAAGATATTAAACCTGAGTATGGAGACTTTTTTTTTGAGACAGGATGTTATTCTGTCACCCTGGCTAGAGTATGGTAGCATGATCATAGCTCACTATAACTTAGAACTCCTGGCATCAAGCTATCCTCCTACCTCAGCTTCCTGAGTAGCTTGGACTACGGGCACACACCACCACGTCTGGCTAATTTTTAAATTTTTTGTCTTACTATGTTGCCCAGGCTGGTCTTGAACTCCTGGCTTGAAGTGATCCTTCCACCTTGGCCTCCCAAAGTTCTGGGATTATAGGCATGAGCCATGGAGCCTCACCAAGTATGAAGACTTAGATCATTTTAATATGGCCAAGTAACTGGACTATGGAAACTTATTGAAAGTAATGGAACTTCTAACAGCTCAAGGGCTTAAAAAAATTTTTGTTTTTTTTTAATTAAAGAGTTTGGAGCCTAAAGGGTTTATGAGATACTCATTGATTTGCATGACTGTTTACTGATGTGACAAGATATTTGAACACATCCAACTAGAAACTGCAGTGGGAAAATATGCTCATTTATTTAGAGAGGTATAGGCCTTCCCCCTTAAGTGCCACACAAGGATTGAGCAGATGGCACTTGGAGGCTGCACTTGTTTCCTGTTGTGGAACTGCCGTATATCAACAGAATTGCTAATATTTAATACTGATAGAAATTCAGACACAATTTTAGAAAATAAATACAGATTTTGATGTATTTGAATAATACTTTAAGTTTCCATGGTTGTAAGTGCACACCTGAGGATGTGACTGAATGCTGAGTCACCAAGGGCTTAGGGCAGTGCTACTGGTGCCATCTGAGAAGGCTTATCAGTCCGTAGTGAGATGAGCTCGGAAATTAAGAGTAAATGTTTTGGTGGGGTGTGGTGTCTCATGCCTGTAATCCTAGCACTCTAGGAGGCTGATGTGGGAGGATTGCTCAAGATCAGTGAACTAGGTAGTGAACTAGGTAGTTCACTAAATATAGTCTATATGTATAGACCAAATATAAAATTAAAGTAATTTTGAAAGGTAAAGTTTGAAAGTTAGTAGCCTTATAGCTTCTCCCCAAATGATATCTGTCTTATTCTGCCTTGTCAGACCTTTGCCAATCAGAAATTTATTTGACCATAATTATTAAGGTACCACTACTAAGGTTATATATTTATTAAATTGTTGTTTCTGTTATTTTGATCAGTTGAAATTTTTAGCAAACTAAATCCTTTGTTGTTTTAGTCAGTTGAAGTTTTTAGTAAGTTCCTTGATATAAATTCTATAGATGATAGTTTATAATTCCCTTCTGACATTGTAGTTACCTAAAGAAATTACCCTGAAAATCTATTTTTAAAAGTAGGTATAAATATAGTATAGTGTCTTCCTTATAGCACTATACTTCAATACAGTTTTAAAAATTGGCCAGTATGAGAAGAAAGTAATCAGCCATATGGAAATAATATCATTGTGTCATATTGTCAACTTTCATGTTAGATTTGCAAAATTGAAATATAATTATGAATAACAAAATAAACATGTGTCCTATACAACAGTGTGCCATGATGTGCTTTAGATACAATGGAAACAATTGCTAATAAAATAAGGTGTTTTATGATTTGGAAGAGAGATTTTATTCTTGGCAGTGACTTTTCAATTTTGTCAATTTGAAAAGTGGCACTGTTGGTAGATGAGATAGTTATGGAAAAAATGTATACAATCTTTATGCTTAGAACACATGCATTGTCAAAGTTTACTCATGAAAAAGTGAAGCAGGATCCAGATTAAGAAAAGTATATCTCATTTTGAGGGGGAAGGCAATAGAACATTTCCTTCACTTATTGACTACTTCATTGAAAAATTTAAGAAATTTATATTCTCAATTTCATTTTAACCCCAAACACTGCTTTTGTCTTTATTGACTCTGCCTTTATCTTTATGAAATTTGTATATTTTTAATAAGTCTATGTGAAATTCACCATGTGGGTGTATGATTTTATATTCATTGATGTTGTGTTTACGTGTTCTGCTATATCTTTCATTTATTCTGTTTTCCAAGTACAGTAGCAATGTCTTTTAAGAGTATGCTCAATCCTGTTTTAATATTTCTTCCTTCCAAAGATTATAGCATTGTGTTCTATAGTGAGGGTTCACTGTTGACAGACTAAAAAAGACTTAAAGATCTACACTATAATAAATTGATAGCAGAATTAAGGAATAACATAGGCAGGTTTTAAAATATCTTAGTAAAATCATAATATTGTCTTTTTATGTTTTTGCAGGAAGATTCTTTGGCAACAGATGACTTTCTTGTGGACTACTTTAATGAATTCCTAAGCCTTCCAGTGAGTGTATTATTGTGTTCTATTGAATATATTGTCAATGCAAAATATTTAAATGACTGGATTATGTTGTGAGACAAATTTATCAAGGATAATATTTTATTAAAATATTAATTAAAGCATTTAGGTAAAGTTTATATTTTTTTTAGATATAATAATTTGGATTTGAATCATATTTAGAAACTATCCTTATTGAAGAAAGCTGGAATAAAAAACCATCAAAAAGCATTCTGGACAAAATCTAATATAGTTGTATTTGGTACCATGTTAGGCTTTGAACAGAGGTGATAAGGACAGAATATCAAAAAAGTCAAGAAACTAAATTTTATGCCTCTAAGCAATTCTTGTCATCCCCTTGGATAGATATTAAATTGGAATTTGTATTTAAGGCAACTAGAGTTTCATATCAATAGTAAATAAGACTTGGAACACTGTTGTTTTTGCAACAGGTGGATATCAATTAATAGCATTTCAATCTTGGCAGTGACTGCCAAGTATTAAGGGGTATCTTGGTCCATTTTGTGCTGCTATAACAGAATAGTTGAGATTAGGTTGTTTATAAAGAACAGAAATTGATTTGGCTCATGGTTCTGGAAATTGAGAAGTCTACAGTGAAGGGGCTGAGTCTGGCAAGGGCCTTCCTGCTGCATCATCCCATGGCAGAAGGGTAAAGAGAGAGGGCAAGAGAACAAGAGAGGCAGAGAGGGCTGAACTCATTTTTATAACTAATCCACTCTTGCAATATGGACATTAATCCATTCATGAAGGCAGAGCCCTAATGACCTAATCACCTCTTATTAGGTCCCACCTCCCAAGATGGTTGCATTGGGGATTAAGTTTACAACACATGAACTTTGGGGGACATATTCAAAAATCATAGCAAGAAATTTGGGGAAAGTAAAATGAGAGTTCATAAAAAGACTTATATTGTTATATGGAAATAAAGTTAATAAGGAATGGCAATTAAAAGAAAGATAAGAAAAGGCTTTATTATTGCATTATGAAAATATGGAAACATTTTTTATTAAATTTTTTACCAGGGAAAATTTGAAATATAAAAAAGTCACAAGTAATTTTAAAGGGAATGGACCATAAAATATGAAATCTCTTAAAATGTACCACTGACAATATGTTTTGAAGGGTACTTTCTTGCTTAGATTAGTTTTGTATATTAAGTATGTATCTATGCATGCATGCATGTTTGTTTTGCATTTTTTTTTTCTTAGAAGAATTTTGTACTCTATCCTCCATTAGGCAGAGCTAGATCTCTGGATCCATTATGGGAGTTAGAGTGAGACACCAGGCCACCCTCTCCCTTTCCAGGAATAGGCCTGAATGATACTGTATGATAATCAAGGGGTTCTTGTTTGGTCTGACTCTTTAACTTTCATTGACCAGTTGTACATTATGCAAAACCCAGCAGCATCACAAAATTGCCAGAATTTCACTCTTCCAGATTATGTAGTCTTTCCCCTGGGCTCTGCAATCTCCATGCTTCCTCCAAAAAAGAGTACATCTTTGTAAAATTTCAAACAGAAAAATCTCTATATAGGTCTAATTTCAGTTTCTCAGCATTTAAATTTCAGTATCTCAAGATTTGTGCTTATCTTGACTTCTACTTGTTCTGGAAACTAAATTCCCCTGCATAACTTTCTTTTCCAGAAAATCTCTTTTTAAGTATAGAAATAACATGACAATAGTATAGAAAAATGAGAAAAATTCAGCCATTTCTTGCTATCTAGTCAGAATAGACATTGCCATTTTTATAGGCTTTCTTTCAGACTTCAGGTGAAGTGATAGAGTGTGATTTCTATTGAGCTCTATATAGTCGTGTTTTTTATCACTCCCCAGCAGGTACCCTTTGTATGTGCCGTGCACCCACCTGGCCTGCCTCTTCCTTTTTTCCTCTCTCCAAATCCTTCTGTTTTTACTCCCTCTTTTTTTTTTTTCAGTTCCTTTTGCATCTACATTTGGGATCGCACAGTCTACCTATTATCTATTCTGTACACCAAAAGCAAGAGAAGGGAAAATATTGTCACAGGTTTCCAAAAGAATTAGGGGGAAGGGAGGAGAAGGAATGATGTATTCTTAAACCAAGTACCTGGCAAAATTCTTGAACAGATTACTAATGTTTGGTTTATGAGCACTTAGCTAAGCATTAGAAACCGGCATGGGTTTACTGAGGATAAGTGTGCCAAACTAACTCCCTCTTTTTGGATAGCTATGGACTGGTATTTTAGGGAACCATAAATTTAGTGTATTATGATTTCAACAAGGTATTATAAAAAATAATAAGTTTAATCATGTTACTTCCTGCTGTGCTCACAACCCTGTCTGGTGGCTTCTCATACACGAAGACTAAAATCCAGAATCCTGTATAATTTGGCCCTTTTTATCTCTCGATCTTTATTTTCTCCCGTTTCCTCTTGTAAATTATTTTCCAGTTTAACTGACCTTCTTCATGTTTCTCAAACATGAATATGCCAAGCATACTTAGGCTCTTTCAATCTGGAATGCTCTTCCCTGAAGTATCTGTATCATTTTCTCCCTGACTTAAGTCCCTTCTGTTCAGAAAGCTTTCCCTACCAACCCTATCTAAAATAATATCCCCAATGCATGCTCCACTTACATTGCTTTATTTGTTTCCAAAGCCCTTTTCATTATCTGTGAAATTAGTTTTCAAATATTTGAACTGGTTCACTAACCCACAGATTGAACTCTAAAAAAAAATTCTTTACTATGGAATTCAAGACCCTTTGCAGTTTGGCCTCAACTTAATCTTTCTAGCTTTATCTCAGGATTCACACTGCTGGTGCCACCCTGCAGACTCTCTTCTGCCACGCCTAACCCACCAGCCCATCTTGACCACACATATTCCTCCTGTGCTCAAGTCTCACGATGTACTGGTTAGTACAGGAGGGAGACAGAACTGTGTTTGATTCCATCTCCTGTACTCACTGCTAGTGTGATCTTAGAAACATTACTTAATTCCTACATTTCTTTCTCTGTGAAAACATTATAACTATCTTATAAGATTATTATGAAATGAGTTAATATATGTTAAGTGCCTGGCACAGGGTTAGTGCTTCTCCTTCTGTTTCCTTCACTAACTAGACCATCTCATCTTTTCATTCCTGAAACATAAGAGGCAATCACTCTTTAATTAGATTGGTGGATCATTGTCAATCCCAGAAGAGGATAATCTTCTGTGTCACACAAATCTGTCAGTGGCTTTGCCTTTTTAAAATCATTTTTATCAGAGACTTGGAAGAAAAATTGCAAGAGAGCCAGCATTCTTCCAGGTTAAGGTCATTCAGCTAGTAAGTGACAGGGGGGGCTGAGAAATTTTGATTGTCCCAGGTCCATATGGCTCAAAAACTTTTGATTGTCCCAGTACACTATGATGTCTACAGAACTGGCAGCAGAGAAATAAATTGATCATTTGCATAACAAAATCTAATTTTTATCCTGATAATATGAAATGGACTAAAACAAACAAGGCTAATGTATTCTTAGGGTACATTAATAGAAGTATAGTTCAGATCAAGAAAAATATTAGTCTGGAGCATAGAAGGCACTCAATAAATGTTTTTTTGAATAGGGTTGAATTGTCAGACCACATTTGGAATATTGTGTTCCATTTTTGGTGCCATATGTTAAGAGTTGCTCTGCCAAACCAGACTCAGGGAGACTCAGCCAATGAACACTCTGGAAACCACGTCAGATGAGGAAGGGTTGAAAGAAGTGTGGGTGTTTAACCTGGCTTGGGAATGGGTGTATTAGGGGTGGAATTGAGTAGCCCTTTTTAAATGTTTGAGTCTTCAGCTGAGGAAGAGGGGTTAACATATTCTGTGAAACTAGAGGGCAGAACCAGGGCCAGCATTTAGAAGGGAAATTGATTTAGATTTTCACCCACAAGACAAATTTGAAGTTTCGTTTCTTTCTTTCTTCCTTTCCTTTCCTTTCCTTTCCTTTCCTTTCCTTTCCTTTCCTTTCCTTTCCTTTCCTTTTCCCCTTTCCTTTCTTCCTTTCTTCTTTCCCTTTCCTCTCCTCTCCTCTCCTCTCCTCTCCTTCCTCTGCCTCTCCTCTCCTCTCCTCTCCTCCCTCTCCTTCTCCTCTCCTCTCTCCTCTCTCCTCTTCCTCTCCTCTCTCTCTTCCTCTCGTCTTCTCTCCTCTCTCCTCTCCTCCTCTCCCTCTCTCCTCTCTTCTCCTCTCTCTCTCACTCTCTCTCTCCTCTCCTCTTCTCTCCTCTCCCTCTCTCTCTCCATCCCACCTCTCTCTCTCCTCTCCTCTCCCTCTCTCTCTCACTCTCCTCTCCTCTCCTTCTCCCTGCTCCTCTCTCCTCTCCCTCTCCTCTCCTTTCTCCTCTCCTTTCTCCTCTCCTTTCTCCTCTCCTTTCTCCTCTCCTTTCTCCTCTCCTTTCTCCTTTCCCTTTCTTTCCCTTTCTTTCCCTTTCTTTCTTTCTCTCTCTCTTTCTCTCTTTGTCCTCATTCTTTCTTTAGTCCAGGCTAGAGTATAGTGGCGTAATCATAGCTCACTGCAACCTCAAACTCCTGGCCTCAAGCTATCTACTTGCCTCAGCCTCCAGAGTAGCTGGGATTACAGGTGCATGCCACCATGCCCAGCTAATTTTTAAATTTTTTAAAAAATTTTTTTGTAGAGATGAGGACTCACCAGGCTGGTCTTGAACTCCTGGCCTCAACTGATCCTGCTGATTTGGCCTCCCAAAGTGCTGGAGCTACAGGCATGAGCCACCATGCCTAGCTTAAAGTTTGTTTTCTAACAATAAAATGGGCTGGCCTGCGAAGGAGTAAACTCTGTATGTTTGGCGGTATTCAGGTAGAGGTTAGGAAATCATTTCATGGGAATATTGTATGTATATGTTTGTATATCTATATGGTGGGAGACTTAAATTTCCCAACCAAAGAAACTTTAATTAATTCCTTCTTTTCTGTTTATTTTATCTTAGGAGCTACATTGTAAATGTCCTAGGGGCAAAGTTA